TTTTATCTCATTCCACGTGTATACATGTGCCTTTTGGGCCCAAGTTAAAGTGTCTACTGTACGAAAATCACATGTCTATTTTTTTAATGACCACTTTTCTTTGAGAATCGCACGGATGGTTGGAAAAACAAAAATAGATAAAACATCATCTATCGTATTACCCATATCATTGAGAAGTAAGATTTCCCCTTTTCGAAGCGATGACACTCGTTTGCCGCAATTTTCGAGAAGTTAAATGAAACCCGAGAGTTACATTTCGGTGTACTTCGCGCATCTTCTCCCCTCCGGATGCACCATACCCCCGACATTATACACACATCCCTCCGAAGGGGAGGAAGTGGATAAAAAGGTCTGTTTACCGAATGGGCCCGCGCCACCCCCTTCTTACGTCCCCCTCCAAGGGTATATATATACACCTCGCGTACATCTCGCGAGAGGAGAGACTTGCTCGCCCCCTTTTCTTCGTCCCGTGGCATAAGGGGTTGTTGCTATACCACCACCCTTGTTCGGTCTCTCGTGGATTTCTTCGGTGCCTCACGACAGGGGAAAAAAAAGAGAGGGTACGCAAGCAGAAGAGGCTGTCCTAAAGGGTGTGTCGTCGAAAAGATAGAAGGGCGTAGGCAAGGAGGTGGGGGGAGGGGGTAAGAAGGCATATGGTTAATGAGAATTTAACGAGAGAGATGCGGGGCTGCTCGAGTTGGAGGAGCTCGATTAACCGAGTATGCATGTGTGCGTGCGCTGTATCGCGTGCTCCGGGGTATTGGCTGGTGGTGCTGTCTTTGGCGTCTCGAGACTCTCGGCTATATACGGTGCCGAGGGTATACGCGAGTAAATGGTTATCAGGCGACGGGAGATGAGAATTAAAAATTTTTACCATTAATACATCCATTTGATTGCATGAGAGGGTGGGAAGTCTCGGGACGGTATCATCATGTGACACGTTATCGAAGGTATACACGTGGAGAAAAACAATGGCTATACTGAAAATAATTATCTTAACAATAATGGCTCAGTTTAATTGTTCGATTAAAGATATGAAAATACACTCGAAGAAATAACCAATATTGTAATATCATTTCGCATCACAAGTTGATTGATACTCGACAACACAGAGAGGGGTAGGTCACCCCAAACAAAGTAAGCAAACTAAAATCCACGCATAATAAATCAGCCGGCGAATTAAAGTCACCCGCGCGCACTGCCGAGGCGTCGAGGCTCCCTGCAGGCCAAATTGGCGTAAACGCGTTTTGGCCGTGGCACTGCAGTCGGCTATGGCATCGCTCCAAAGCGGATGTTTTTTTTTTTTTTTTTTTTATTTTTCTTCAACGCTTGGACACCAAGTATGTACTTTTTTGGGCATTTTCCTGTACCCCAAATAACTATACATCCCCTCTTTTTCTTTTGTCCAAGAAAAGGCGATGGAAAAACGAATGGTCGAACCAGATTGGAGAAGATGGATCGGTAGAAAGGCGCCGCACGTCTCGGCGATTAGGTAGCCGAGAGATACCAGGTAATGCTTCATTTTACTCGGACCAAACGCCCCTTGTTGGTGTACGTTCATCTGGTGAAAAATATTCAATAAAAGTCAAGCAACCACTCGTACATTTACATGCACAAAGAGAGAAACGCCACATCAATGCGGGATACGAGTCCTCCCTTTGAGGGGGAGATTGTTTTATTTTCCTCCTCCTCGTTTGTACGAACGCACGCGACGCGCCTCAAGATAACACAGGGAAATAAAGAGTATAGCTACGGTCCCTGGGCAGGGTGTGCACGCAGATAGAAAAATACCGACCCACGTGCCCACGCAAGGGTGTATTATACACTTGGGCCGATCCAACGCACGTATATACATACATACACTTTGAGCGCTTTGAAATTCAAACCACCTCGTCGCCTTTTTTTTTTCATCCCCGATACAGATATACGCTTTTACTCGGTATCGCGCATCATCGTTTCTCTTTCTCTTCCTCCCACTGTTTTATTATATATACGTATAAGGTATACAGCCCCTGATCCACCCGCTTTACCTTATACCGATTCCTCCGGCGTCGCGAATTCCTAAGCGAAATGTGTACAATGTATCAAATGGTTGCGGATGGAGAAACGGTGACACACGCCGGCTCTTATCGCGAGACTGTCAGGATGGGGGTGCACCGCGTACATGTGTTGATAAATGCCGAAAAATCATGAGGTGGAGCAAACGAAATTTCGTAAATTTCACGCGTAACGACCGGGTTGGGTGTACATTTTATTTTTGGCACCCTTCGTGTGGGGTAGTTGAAACAAATGCTCACGTAACGACTGTCAGAGTTAATTTTTCTTCTTAATTTTTTTTTTGTAATTTCGATTTATATAATGTACATCACAGGGTAATCCGTCCATCTGCGCGGGCTGTCCAACACTGTAACATAAATGGCTGTTTGACTGGAAATTGGGCCAATGGTACTCAACGAGGTAATAGGACTCGAGTAATTAAAGATCGAATGGAGCAAAAATCCTTAATAGGCCCAATGAGCGGTTGGTACTCTGGAAAAAAAGGTGGTGGAAGAAAAAACGGCGCATTCGTAGAGAAGAGGCGAAACATCCGCGGGACGGTGTCGAGAGTACAGTAGAACACGGTAGTGTAGAGAAAAACGGCGGAGTTTACAGCCATCCGTTGAACGTCAGACTTCAGACGGACGGAGAACCAAGAAACGAGCATAAACGTACATGCACGCGAAATATATACAGGCACATCATGGGGGGGGGGGGCTCGTGTACACGCGTATATCCGCTTTTACCGAATTCCGGCGGAAAAGAGGAAAGCGCGGAAGGCTCGAGTCTCTTTCTCCTTGCACCCATCGTACCTGTATATACACGGAGCACAGGTCGAAATGTGCCAGCGAGAGCAGTCGTGCCGGGCCTCGTCTTCGTCGTCTGCCGCAGCGCCTTCGTCTGTTTGAAGAGGGAATTTCACAGTCGAATGCACCCGATGCAAGACGTACAGTCTCCAAACCCCACCAAAAGCCTACTCTCTCTCTCTCTCCTCCCTGTTTTTGCTCTATACTTTTCGTACATGCCTCGAAGCGCCCGAGACCAATTTCGATTACTTTATATGCAGCGCAGCGGCTCCTCTTTTTTCTTCATTTCTGTGCATATATGTATCATCATCCTCCGTGTCCTCTTTTCCCCCGTGTCTCTCTCGTCCGAAACGTGCACAACGAAATTCTTACCGCCTGCACCGAGTATTTTTTCAACAGATTTCATCCCCCCCCCCACACCTACCCTCGAGCTGCACTCGATAACGAACTCTAATGGTGTTTAAATGTGATTATGGTGTATAACATCAGAGAAAAGTCGCGCCTGGGCGCACCGAAAATCCTTCGATTTTTGACTCTCTTTCTCTCCCCCGCGGGTAAGGGATAAATAATACATACATACATACATACACATCGCACGGTGTATTTCCTTTGAGACGCACCACATATATTTATGATAATGTAAGTACACGCGAGGTCTCGGTGGACGAGCCGTTGGGATGTTTTAATTACTTCAAAGGGAGGAAAAAACCATACGAGGTAGTGCCGGGGGATGAAAAAAAAAAAAAAAAAAAAAATCTCGTGTATCGCTGCCCTCGCAAAAGCCCAGGGAGAAAGAAACTCGCGATTGTGCGTGGCCGGAGAAGCCGCGGCTGTTGCCACTCGAAGGGACTCGTTGGCGTAAGAAAAAAGAAATGAGCATCAGCATGGGGTGTAAGAGCTCGTCTTTTAAGTAGCAGCAGAAGAAGAAGGTTGTTATACACGTAGGCGCCTTGAGTACGCGAATGAATGAAAACCCCGGGGGGGGAGGGGGAGGGGAAGTGAGCCGCTGTCGAATCAAAGGTAAAGGATGAAAGGGCTGCAGCGACGTTGGAGATGACACAGGGAATGTTTTTTTCTTCTCTCTTCATCTTTGCTCCTTAGCGGCCCTCGACACGACCGAAGGTGAGCATAACTTAATTTCATTTGAAAAAATCATCGGTATGTGTGTACGCGAGCATCGAATGGATTTCATCTCGTAAGCTCAAACTCGCCGGATGCGCCCCTAATTACAATCTCCTCGGAGTCGAGGGTCTCTCCCCCGCGCTTGCCAACGACACCCCCTCGAGCGAGAGCTAGTCGTCACCCTCTCTTAGAAGAGAAAAAAAAAAAAAAAAAAAAACCCTCGACGAAGACAAGAAAGCGTGGAAGACGGTGTCGTCGTCTACGGAGGCTGTAAGGGCCAAATGGAAATCAATACGTGAAGTGAGCAGCGGCAGCTAGTTTCGCGCGGAGGAGCCCAACCCCCCTCTCTCTCTAGTGCGAGTCGAATAGCCGGGAAACTGAGGCTGTGAAGTACTTACCAGGGGTATGGGGGGAGGGAGGCCGAGAAAGGAGGAGGAAGAGCCATTCAGGACTAATGGGGTTAAACGCCTTGACTGGCCGATCCGCTGTATTACCCGATGCTATATACGTATACCCTGTCTGACGTACATTTCCTCTTTGTGCCTCCTTTGTGCGTTGGTGTAGATGGGTGTGCGTGTACCGGAGATAATGGGAATAACCTTGGGAATCTAATTGGCTTCTGTGCACGCACAGGTGTCTTACCTAAGTGGTTTTTATCTATATCTCGGCGCGTTTTGTTCCAACTTTGTGCCAACAGAGGCTCGTTTGCTCTTTGTCGATTGAACGGAAGGGCTCACGGGTTACGTACACCTATTATGGTACAATATGTCAATGCGAACTCTATTATATACAAATGGGAGGTTTTTTTGTTCATCGGGAAAATAAAAATCTCCACGCGTATAACAACGCCTTAACTTGGCAAAAAAAATATTTCTTAATAATACTAATACTGATGTCTCTTACAATTAAATAAATCATGAGCTTGATGAAATCGCACGGTATATCTTGGCCTACGGAGTCGGTGAGCGTGAAAATGCAAACGGTGCACGAGAGGGTGGAGGGAGAAAGAAAGATAGAGGATTGCCGGTAACTCACCCTTGTGTGCCATGTCGTCAGGGACGGTGGCCAGAAGGCCGGTGGCGCCCGGCCATGGAGCGACCGCAGCGCCCTGGAGCTGCGACGGCAGAATCTTCGGGCCTTTCTGCGCTTCCGGTCGCTGAAACAGGCAACGGAAAGCCCTTGTAAATAATCTGAAATTCAACGTGAAATTATCCTCGTATGTGGAACAAATAAAAAAAAAGATATACATGTGTCGTTTACATCATTAAGATAACGAGGGTATTTCTACATGTGTTAATATCATGGTCACGTACTAAACGCAGTAGCGTTCAAAAAAGATACAAATCGCAAGTCCCAGTCTATATTATATAGGAAACAAGTAAGTATGATTAATAAATATTTATAGACAAAACGAGCTGCCAATTGGGAAAGCTTTCGTCCGCAGCCTCCCGAGAGAAAACTTTTTATCAGCGGGAGTTACTCTTCTTTACAAAATCCGGTAACTCACCAAAGTAAATGATTACGAAATTCGGGTTTTTTTTTTTTTTTTTTTTTTTCGCAACAAATTGTTTTTCCACGAGCCGCACAAAAACCCGAGCCGTGCACCTGTGTCAATTGTATACGTATATACTACAGGGATCCGAGACGCAAGAGCCGATCGTCGCAGCGACACTTTGTGCGTAGGTATAAGATAATGTTTTCTCGGCCAAGTTTGTACAGCTCGAAAGATGATTAAGCGATAAGTCGACTTTGCTCGAGAGCAACGGTGTATGTTATTTGTTTGTCGATGTAATACGTTCCCGTTCAAGTTGACGATGAGGCTTACACTTGTGGACACTTGACGGATACATGTGCTTCTTTTTTTCCTCTAACGAGTGATTTGGCATTCGGATCGATTTTTGGGATCCAAAGGGCACCTTGTCGATTATCTGGTAACAAAAGATACACGCGTGCCCGTGAACTCGACTTTTCCTCGTACACCCGATCGCTGGAAATAAAAATTGTTGCGCAACGACTTGTCACCTCGTCGCGTAACAAACGCTCCGCGCGTATTCCCTTTGCGACGTGCAAATCCACCGAAATGCCAAATAAAAAAAAAAAACTCAGGAAATCGCACTCGAAGTAAGGGAGGGGGTAGGGGAAATCAGCATCGAGTGCACCCCTCGTCCCATCTATATATAATTAGTCGTTATCCCCCGGCGCACTTGAAATCGTACACAATGAGCTCCGTCAGAGAGGAGCTCCCTGACGCGCACCCGTACGTCCTCGAGTGTACCACACGACGATGTCTCTTACGTAATAACGTATAGGCACACATACGGGATGCACTCGTATCGAGATAACAGTAAGAAGATCATCGAGTGCCGTAATTACCTGCGGGTGTGCGAACGCCCCTGTTGTCCTTGACTAACAAAAAAGTTTGTGTTTCAAAATTGAGAGTAAAAGAAGAAGAGAAAAAAAAAATTAGGGAAGAATAGAGGGGAAGGGGATTTTACGGTAGACACGGGGGAAGCGCGCCAAGTGCGATATAATTAGTGCCATGTAGGGAGGGGTGTGCAAACTCGTTGCTGTTTCAGCTTATGGGGGAAGTGATGTAGATCCCTTTTTGCGAGCATTGAGCGGCGTAGTTGATTTTTTTTCTTCCTTTCTTTTTCGGGTAATCAAATTCGTCCGATTCCAAATGAATCGCGTCCGATGAGTTGGGCTGGTATAGCGGCGGCAATCGAGTGAGACGGAGAAGGTACACGGGATAAGTCGAGCAAAACCGGGTAATCCGTCCGGAAGACCTTCAAAGTTCGAGTGCCTTTCCACAACGAGGTGTCGGTAAAAAAAAA